TACAGTACACATGCGGATTTAAACGGGTCCAGGAGTGTCAATTTTTTTCTTTTAGCCCTTTTATTTCTCCGTGGTGATAAACTATATATGAAAAGGCAAAAACAATACTCCTTTTTATTGCTAAAAATAAAAAATTTAACAATAAACTAATGCATGGTATATAATGGGCTAACCGTTAACCATAAAATAAAAGAGTTGAATGGGCCCAACCTACACAGGATTTGGCCATCAAGTAAAACAAATGAACATCATTGGTTTGCCATTCTAAAACAAGCTATTTTCTCTGACATAATATATATTATGCTATTATTTTATATCTTAGTGGCTAAAGTATAATGTATTTTAAAGTTATTCAATGGTTCAACCTCGACCAACCCAATTAGTCCAATTTTTATCATTTCAAATATATATTATATAATTATTTGATATCATAATGTTCAAATTATAGTGTATATTTTATAGGGAATCGTTTGGTATTTGTTAGTAAAAAACTAAACAGAACTATCTATTTGGTTATTTTAAACATTAAAACGATCTTAAACATTTTCAGTTCCTTTTGAATTTTTATGGTTTTATTCCCGAATAACAGTCATCTCTTTTCTTTCACTATTTTTTATTTCCAAATAGAAAATTTAAAAGTAAAGAATAATTAGAATTTGGCATGGGTCGGTCAAACTGAATTTCAAATTTTGGCCCGTTTGATCAAGTCTAATTTATAATCACATGGTTCCCTGATACCCGATAAAAATCTCAATCCAAACCAGTTTGGCAGGTGAGTCTTTGTTTACCACCATTTTCTAGGGATACGATAACGGCGGTTCCTATCCCAAATCGTGTTGTTCGTTCTTGATTTCCTTAGATTTTATCATGGCCTAACAAAAACCAGAAAGCACAATGACGACAAGATGAAAGTCTTATAAAGCAAATTAATCGACTAACGGGCCGAGTAAAAGCTAGCAACGATTCTGAGATGCTCATTTCCCGAAAAACCGACGGGATAGGCGATTTTTTATTCGATTTTCTAGGAATTCGGTTTCTATAAAACTTACTCCACCTCATCATATTACCAGAAACAATATTGTTTCACAAGGTAACATGTACTTGATTTTGGTTCATAAGGCCGATTTTTGATTCATTGCATCATTCATGTCTCTTTCCTGCTAAAATTCACTATTTTTATCACGTGTTTCCAAAAAAAAACTAGACAACAATAAGCTATACACCCCATTACATTATCAAATTTCATACATCACCTTCCTCCGGCCAACTGGCCGGGGCCACGCTAGTACAATATATAATAGCATGAAGGGGAAAACTGTTGCTCCATTTCAAATTTCTTATAACGAGAGTGAAAGTAGGAAGGACATTTTGGTCTTCACAATTACTTTTTTTATTCGTTAAAAAGACTCGTACTGGGATTCAAACCATGATCACTTTAAAGAGAAGCAAGGATCATAACGAATCACACTAAGTACATTTGTTGTATCTTTTTAAACTAAAAATATATAATAGCAGGGAGGAAAAAACCCTTCTCCCATTTCAAATTCCCTGCTCCGGGAGCGTTTGTAGGATGGGCAGAATAGAGTGTCAATTTTTTTCTCTTTTCCTTTGTGGAACGGGACAACTTACGTACACATGCGGATTTAAACGGGTCCAGGAGTGTCAATTTTTTTTAAGCCCTTTTATTTCTCGGTGGTGGTAATATATATATATATATATATATATATATATATATATATATATATATATATATATGAAAAGGCAAAAACAATACTGTTTTTTATTGCTAAAAAGAAAAAATTAACAATAAACTAATGCATGGATTCTAATGGACTGAATTTCAAGTTTTGACCTATTTTGATCAAGTGTAATTTATAATCACATGGTTCGCTGATACCTGATAAAAATCTCAATCCATACTAGTTTTGCAGGTGAGTTCGTGTTTACCACCATTTTCTAGGGATACAGGAACGGTGGTTCCTATCCCAAATCGTGTTGTTCATTCTTGATTTCTTTAGATTTTATCATGGTCTGGCAAAAACCAGAAAGCACAATGACGACAAGATAAAAGTTTTATAAAACAAATTAATCGGCCAACGGGTTGAGTAAAAGCTAGCAACGATTGTGAGATGCTCATTTCCCGAAAACCAGCGAGATAGGCGATTTTTATTCAATTTTTGGAATTCGGTTTCTAAAAAATTTACTCCACCTCATCATATTACCAGAAACAATATTGTTTCACAAGGTAACAGGTACTTGATTTTGGTTCATAAGGCTGATTTTTGATTCGTTGCATCATTCATGTCTCTTTCCTGCTAAAATTCACTATTTTTATCACGTGTTTCCCAAACAAAAACACTATACAACAACAAGCTATACACCCCATTACAATATCAAATTTCATATCTCAAGTTCCTCCGGCCAGTGGCAGATCCAGAAATTCTACACAGGGGTGTCCTTTCCAAAAATTTAAATTTAATTAAATATTAGAATTAAATTAAATAATTATTAAATATGAAATTATCTTACTAATAAAAGTTACATGAAAAGTTAATACGTGTTTCGTAAAATGATAAAATACATCTGGGGTCTATACTGCTCAACAAATATCTCTCGACATATCCTATTAGACAAGGGTATCCGATAATTGGGTTCAATAGTTAAGATCTGAAAATAATTTGGGATAAGAATAACATTTTACTATTATATTTGGATCTAAAACACAATAACAAATGAGTTATAGTGTAATTAAAAATAGGTTTACTTGTCAGAACAGAAGCGTGACAATCGATAATCCAGATCAAAACGAACGAACACAAATTTAACGTGGTTCACTAACAGAATGTGTGCTAGCTAATCCACGGGCAGAGGATAACAAATTTCACTGATTTTGAGGAGAGTACAGGTTACAAACCAAATTCCGAATGGACAAACCAAACAAACTAACCTGACTGACCTTTACAACAGATTAGGGTGGTGAAGAGTATTTATAGAACTCTTCTCCTAATCCTAAACAGAAAACCAAACACTTTTTCCAAACATACAAGGAAAATGCCAAAACAAAATCCAAACACAAACCCAAACAAAATAGGCCCAAAACACCAAACCATCCCAAATAAAATTCAAGTCATATTCTAACATTACTAATAATGGCAAGGTCCTAAGTTTAAATAACATAGACTACTACTTAAATATTATTTGTACCAATACGTAAACTACTACGAGAGGTTGGATAATCATTTTCCCAAAATTTAAGGGTGCCCCACTATCACTTAAACATTTTTTTCCGCTTATCGTAAACTGCTATCGGAAGTTGAATAATCGTGTTTTCAAATTTTAGAGGTGTCACGGAACACCCCTAAACATGCATGTATCCGCCACTAGCCTCCTACCAACTGGGCGGGGCTCACGCTAGTTGCTTTGTACACGAATAACAAAAAGCAAACCAATATCGTAGTGAAAGATAACATGTAACTAATGTGGTACATGTCATGCTCATGAAGGAATAGTCGAACAATAATGTATGGTAATTTTCTATCAACAACCAACTCAATTTTGAAATTAGCATCATGCCAATTACCAACCACATGTATACCTTGTGAAATTTGATGTAATAAGCTACAACATATTCTTTATTTTTTTATGAAATAAAATCAAGCAAAGACTTTTCTCTCAACGTGGTATAAGAGCCTAAAGGTCCTCCATCAATCAAGCACACATAACAGTGTCATGAGCCTCGTATTGGTCGAATTTGAGCCACAAAAGAGCAAACATAACAATGTCTTAAGCGGTGGAATGGATCAGTCTCAAACTGCGGTTCAAGTACCTACTTCACTAGCTTCTACCATATATATGAGAAAATAATAATCCAATGATGAGCACACATATCATATTCGGCAACCACAAGTCCACATGTATGGCAATCAGAGAAGGATGAGGAATATGAAACCATACTAGCATTTGAAAGAATGAGGATGAAGATGAGCTAGGTGTAAGAGATTCAACATATGACGGCCGGAGTACAAGCAAATGTTAAAAAGTATTGTTTTAAGAGTGAAAATAAGAAAATTGAAAGAATGAATCAACTAATTTACATGGCATATGTGCTAGATTATATGTCTAATGTTGGGTATCTCTCTATGATGTTAGGAGAGATGTATGGACTAGAGAAAGAAAATGCATTGACAAAAAAAAATTATCACTCAAATGAGTGAAATGTTTGAGGTTTACAAAATCAAGTATGCACCTCCCTTGGGTCAGGATTGATTTCATCAACAGAAAAAGGAACTCCAAAGCGAACTGGTTAGCTAAATCTTGTACTAAGAAACAGCTTTCTAATGAATGGATTCAGATTCTTGATATTGTTGTCCCTCTTTTGTAACCTTTGGCTCCTGTCACAAGTAATGGAAATTCTTTGCCATTTGTAAAAAAAAAAAGTATGCACCTCCCCCCTCTAACTCTGAGCCTACTATTGAGATTAGTGGTAGTGACTATGTTGTTGGTGGAACATTTAATGTCGAGTTCAAAAAGAGGAGGAAATATGCACTTGAGAGGGGGTTTCATAGGAGTTCTGAGTTGGACATGTATTTCAGGGATGTTGATGATGCCATTAAAAGAGGATGTTTGACTTTGACGTGGCTTAATGACCGAGTTAAACCACTTTATCATCTTGCCACACTCTTCTCAAGCCTTTTATTTACAGCTTTAGACTATGTGGCCAAATCCCGACTGTTTGAGAAGAGCAAATGGCTGTTAGTACCATATCCATATTGCTCCCGTTCCTACTCCGTCATTAAGCAGGGATAACGAAACACCATGGAACCAGCAGATGAGGAACAGAAGAAATTGTCAAGTGGAGGAAAGAGTTCGTCAACCTGGAGTAAATAATAGAAGTGGAGGTGTACATCTGCGTCTGAAATGTAGAATACAAACATAAGAGAGCTAGCTTGCTCGTCTCTTTGTCATTCCAAATCTCAATACTGGAGTATGGAGCAGAGGGGAAAAAAGAGGAAAATCCCATCTGAATTCTAATGTTTTCAACATTTAACCATCTATAATCTGGAGTTGTATTTACAATGTTACATCAAAGCTATCCGCGAACCAATCTGTTCAATAGCAGTCTGGATAAGGTATGAACCTGAGTTTCAATTCCATGAGCTGGTGGAGACTGGAGAATAGATTGCCGATCTACCAAGATATTTTGCAGCCCGGTTAGTCCAGCGAGAAGTCTTCGAGCCATATCAGCACTTCGTTCCTCTGCAAACACAAAAGAGTAAAGGTGCCAACTTTAAGTTGCCATTGATATTCCCCTTTTTTACTAAGCTCATGCTGGATGCAGATTTCTCATCACAGCAATGTTTAAAGAAATGGTCAAAGAACAGTCGCATACCATGATAGAGCTCCAGGTTCGGGTAGGGTCGTTATAACGAGCAAGCAAACAACCTGGCTTTGCACTAAGACCATCCCTGACGAGACAGGACCGAACTACTTTCTCCTTCTCGCGTGTTATTTCCTCGGTTGGTTTCCCACTGAACTTGTGCACAGCAGCAAATCCTCCTTTCATCTTTTTCAATCTCACATCATCCTCGATTGGTTCTGGTAAGCTGGTCAAAAAAAGAACCGGACTTTGTTGATTAACCAAACTCTGAGCATTTCAGTACATTGCTTCCAAGTGAGAGAAACATGAGAAGATGGCTCACTTGCTAAAGTCTTTATCCAGGGGAAGAACTACTTGGATGGCAACTTTTGACAGCTCGGGATCCTTCGCCTCAGTGAATACCGGAGTGGTCATAGATATTACTTCCGTCTTTGTATTATTCCCAAATATATACCTTCACATATTGAATCCAATGGCCCATTACGTGGGATTGAGTGAGTGAATGACAATAACAAAACTTGAACTGCTGATTAAGACGTGTGTTCGAATAGAATACTCACCCAGTGACAGAACTGAAACCACCTGAGCCTGCCAAATGATCCCCAGTTGTTTCAACTACCATAAAAGGCTTGTACTTTCTTACCTACAGGGCAATAAGAAGTTTCATAAACCAAATCCACTCAAGTAATAGATTTGCTGCTTCTAAATAATCTGATTACTCTCTATTATAACTTCCCCTTGTCATTGGTTCATAATGCCTCGATGATCTTTTATGACCGAAATATCATCAATCCCGCAAGGGGTAAAAACAAATTGAGATGAACTTCAGGTGAATCTTAACTCTACACACAACCATGACAGGCGAATATGTAAAGTCCTTCAACACAAACTCACCTCATAAACGGCTGTCCGCTTCAATATCTCGTACTTGGGCGTTTCCCTGTCAGGGGTCTTGTAAATCCTCAACTAAAACACATTTAACCACATATGAACAAATCGTCAAAATTTAGATTGAAAGCCAAATCTCTGGCAGCAAAAGTTGCATGCTAATAATCACCGAGAGAGAGATAGGCATACCTGTTGAATCACATCCCACAATCCTTCCGGCGAAAAGAACTGATTGTTGGAAACAGAATCCCAGTAATCCTACAAAAGATTAGGGCATCAAAGAAACAAACCTATCAGAAACCATTTCACTGATTCCACAATCCCCAAATCAGAGAATCCATCCTAACTGTAACCCATATCTTACCGCGTGGCTGCAGAACTTGCCGGTCTTAGGATTGACGCCCATCACAGAAGTCCCCGTGAAGACCAACTCCGGCTGCCATGGAAGAATTATGAACCGCATCACCATCGTCCACCTCGTAGTTATCTCGTAAGATCCTGTCTATACCGGCAGCCGACACAATCAAACCAAAACTCAAAAAAATTAAAAACCCTAACCGTGAAAACCGGATGATAAAAAAATTCAACCTGCTTGGCCCAGTGCAGCTGAAACTTGGGGCGGAACAGATGCTTGAGAGCCGCAATATTCATGAGATACCCATCGAGGTCGTCGTGGCGGGTGATTGGGTCCCGGAACTGAACATAATCGTCGTACGCCGTCCGATCGATTCCTCGCTCGTCGAAGAGATGGGGGAGATCCTCGTAGAGGAAATCGACCAGCTTCGCCATGTCGACATCGTTGCTGCCTTTATCCGAATCGGAATCCGACGAACTGTCGGACGAAGCCTGTTTCTGATCCACCGGCGAGAGGGTCATCCTGATTGCCCAATTGGTGGGGCGGCTGAGAATGGGACGGAAGAGGGTTTTGGGGATGTGGGTGTTCTGCCGGAGACGGCGGGAGGCAACGGAGGAGGAGGAAGAGGGGACATGGGATGAGGGGAAGGGGATTTGGAGGGAAAATTGAGCGGTGGCGGCCATTTGGCGAAGTGGGTATGTGGCGACATTGCCAAGTTTTGCGCTTTTGGGGTGTTTGGAAAGGGAGGAAGGAGAAGAATTGGAAATGAATGGCTGGTATTCGTCGTACAGAAAAGCAGAGGGAGCTCTCGACGGAGTTGAGAGGATTTACGCGCCTTATTTTGCTCCTCCAATTTTTTTTTTTTCTTTTAAATAATCCCTCCAAATTTTATTGGGTGGGTTATTTCGCATGTTAACTCGAAACCTCATTATCCAAATGAATGGGCCATTGGGCCCAATACGGCTGGTCCGCACCTTCTGGCCCAGAAGTATCTGACCGCGTCAGAGGGCAAACCTAGCAAGGAGCAAAAACGGTAGTACAGTATGGCGACTATAGTGAAGTACATTTCTGGGGATCTGGTGGATGCTCTTCGGCCTATATAGCTGAAAGGATAAGTAGAGAACACACAGGTAACCATGAGTTGCAAATTCTGGTGTGCTTTGCTGGTGTTTCAGAAAGGTTCGAATGCGGGGGACTTTGGTGCCTAGGATCGGTGAAGAAGTCGAAGTTTGAGCTAGCACGGCTACGCTCTTCTTGTTACTATGTTTATCAGCGTGCTTAGGCACCAAAGTCACCACCACATTCAACACTTTTTTTCAAAACTTTTTCTCTCCATCGATGACTGTCGAGGCACTTACCATGCTTACATATCCTTTTTTTCCGTGGTGAGTATTCTTCTCTCACTCGATTCTTGACATATGAATCAAGCGGAGGAGCTAGATCTAGTACTTCGAAAATGGAAATTATTGCAGCCAATTTGATGGTTATCTCTACTACTTGATTGAAGAACCATAAAAATATAATATTGACTTTGTTTTTGTTATCTGGTTTGACTATTGTGGCTAATGATTGATGGTAACACTTGATATGTTTCGGTATTAGACAAAGATGGCCAGGTAAAGAGAAGAAATGTGATTAGTGCACAAATGGGTTTGAGTTTTGACTTTTGAGCAATTAGTACCGCTGCACAGGCAGTGGCGGAGGCAGCCTATTGGCATTGTCCGGGACGGGTAAATTTTGGGAGGAACAAAAATAGAAGGATGGAACACAACATCATTGTACTTCGTTACTATATCACAAGTCAGTATTTTTTTTTTATAGATATCTCACAGATCATTATTTATCATAAATTGACAATGAATTAATTATTATACAATAAACCAAATCTCAATTGGAATAGATCTCTTTTCTTTATATGCCTATTCGATTATTTGCAAGCAATCTTGAAGCAGACCAGTGGCAGCGTCGATTCCACTCGTTTTGACGGCAAGTGTCGATAAAATTTTTTCAACTTTGAGCTATCTGAAGAAAAAATTTTGAAGTCGAACTCACGACCAGTTTGCTAATGGTTGTTTAGTGACATCCATTGAAAATTACTTACTTAAGTGTGTAGACAAAGAATGTATTGTGTGTTTCTTCCGAATATGAAAATTCGTCATGGTTGTTTATGAAAATACCGATTGTAATGGTAGTTATTTTATATATGAAAATAAATTATTTAGATACTATTAATTTAATTATATTCATTAAATATTTATATATTTATAATACGAAAAGAGGACAGGGGTAGTTTCAAATCCTGCCTCCGCCACTATGCACAGGTAGGTTTGTCCAACGATCCGGGTTGGATCAAATCACGAAAATGATGACCATTGATGCATTTGGTTCGGTTTGATTGGGTTTCAATCATGGATTGGGAAATCGAATCGTACCGGGCAGTTTAATCGGAAAGATTGGTAACCGGACCATAAATGATACGGTAGCCTGATGGTGTTCAAAATACCGTGTCGGTCGATTTTTTCGACTTAATCAGTACAAAAGGAAATATCGTCCGGTTTTGGTCTAACCGGCGGTAGAGTAATTGATAGACCAATAATTACACATGTTTTCACCCCATTCTGAAGCCGTTTGAGATGTGGATTCTAGTGTTTTAAGCCGATTTCACGCTAGGGTATGTGTTTATGTCATATTTCAGGTCCCGGCGTTGGAATCGAGGCGGAGGAAGGATTTCTGGGTCGAAAGGAGTGAAGTTGGGACAAAGTAAGCCGCAGGAGGGAAATACCCGGTCAGGTGGCCAAATACCCGACCGGGTATTTACTACTTTTGGGCGCCCGAGAACCAGAGAGGGCCCCGGGCAGAATGCCAAAATCCCCGGTCGGGGATTACAGAGGCAGACCGGGGATTTTCTCTTTGTTGATGCGCGCGTTTTGGATAATACCCGGTCGAACCCCAAAATACCCGACCGGGTATTTCGACCGGGTATCGCGATCTGGCAGCTGATAAAAGGAAAAGAAGGCCAACTTTCAGAGGGTTCCGAGTTTTTGAGAGAGAAAGCGATACCTAGAGAGAGAAAGCGACGAACCAGAGTTCCCAAGCGCCATAGATCGATCTTCATCACCATTGGAGCCCGGCTTGAGCTTGGAGAAGTGCGATTAAACGTCCAGGAGCAGAAATCCGTCTTCACAGTATGATTTCCGCGTCTGAATCTGCTTTTGCTTCTTTCTCTATGGAGTAGTTCCCCCATTCATCTGGGTATGGGGAACCCTAGATTTGTATGCTAGGTCTGATTGTATGAACCCAAGTACAGAGTTTGTGAATTGATTATATTCAATTGAGGTTTGAATGATTGAATGACTTGAATCCTGATCAAATTCCTGTTGTTTCTGCTTTGACCTAGAATGAGAATATCTGCCTAGGTTGATAGAGTATCCTTAATCGAAGGTGGCGAATTGGTGACTTTAGTCGAGGAGCCAATTCGCTATTCTGTACCGAATTCAATTCGGTAGTGGAGGTTTGGTTCGCTAGGGCCTCAATCTGTTTACTCCGGTGGAGGTTAGTCGCCCGCTAGAGACTCAGATTGAGAGGGTCTGAAGACCTTTAGTCGAGACTTCGGACTAATCAAGAACCTTCCGCAGTATAACTTTCATGAAAACTGAACTTGGTAAATTGCAATCCGACTTAACTGCAGTCTAGGGGGAACCATATCCGGGTGACCTCTCTTGACTTGACAACAACCGTTTACTTGCCTTGTGTTTTTGTTTGTTTAAATCTGCACTAAAAGTTCACTGCTAGATAACGAGAATTCACCGAGTAGTCATCACATCTAGGACCCGGGTTGACAATAAAACCCAAACCCGCTATACTACGCTTTAGGAAGTGGTTACACTTGGCCATTTTCTAGAGTGACAGTAGGAGTGAGTCAGTAATTCTAATGAAAAACGTCGCAGTTTTTGGAACTTCAAATTAATAAAAAAAAAGATCGGCCGAAGGCCAAAAACCCTAATTTGTTCTCTAACGAAAATCGGCAGCCAAGTCGGCCAAAAAAAAAATCTGCTGCCAGACTTTTCATCGTTTCTTCTTTTTTTCCAATCCCTGCCGCGCCCCGCCGATCCTCCTCTGTACCTCTGGCGACCGACGAAAGGTCGAGCCCAACCCCACTCCACTCCGCGCCCACGCTCCTCTTATCTCCTCCTCAGTCGCGCCGCCTGCTCGAGTGACCCTCCCCTGCTCAAGAACGTGTCGCCGTGCTCGAGTCTACCTCTGCTTGCGCGAGACATAGGTAAGGAAAAAGCATGCGCCAATTTGATGGAAACTATTGCAGCCAATTTGATGGTTACCTCTACTACTTGATTGAAGAACCATAAAAATATAATATTGATTTTGCTTTTGTTATCTGGTTTGACTATTGTGGCTAATGATTGATGGTAACATAACACTTGATTAGGGCTAGCATTTCGGTTTGCGGTTAGCGGGTAACCGCCGGTTTTAACCAAAACCGTCGGTTACCACCTAACCGAAAACCGACCGGTTACTTTGACGGTCGGTGGTCGGATGGGAAAAGGAAGGGGTCGGTTGACCGAGTAACCGACGGTAATTAACCGCGGTTATCCGACTAACCAGGCCAACCGAGACCCACCTTCACCTTCGCCAAAATATGTCCAGATTCATCTCCATTCCCAAATCTTAAATAAATAAAAAATCTCAAATACAGGAAGAAGAAGAAGCAGATCTACAGTGAGGAGGGCCGCCGTTCATCATCGTAATCACAGCCACCAGCACCCCACGACCCGCCATCGTTTAAATCATCCCGGCCCCTTCCGGGAGGAGGGCCGCCGGAGCGGCCGTAACTGGAGAACCCGGGAGGAGGGCTTCGCGGTGACGGATTCGCGGAGACTAAGGAAGCTCTGGGTCGCCGCCGCCGCAGCAGCCTCATTCGTCGCCGCCGCCGCCGCTGCACCGGCCTCATCTTCTGGGTAAGACGAGGGAGAGTGAGAAAGAGCAGAGAGAGGGAGAGAGAGAGAGAGAGAGAGAGGGGGGGTAGGAGATAATCGAGGGAGGGAGGCAATTTTCCACAGATGTGAGGGAGGGAGGCGATTTTCCTTTCTCTGGAAAGGAAGAAGATAATCGAGAGAGAGTAGGGAGAGCAAGGGTTTCTCTCTTGAAAGGAAGAAGAGGAATCGAGAAGAAAGGAGAAGAAAGGAAGAAGAAGAATCGATAAGTGAGTAAGTGGTCCAGATTTTTTGTTTCTTTTAAGTTTTTTTTTTTTAGAAAAGGTATTTTCCGGTTGGCCAGCTAATCGAGCATTAAACCGAAACCGATCGGTCGGTTGGCCGGCTAACCATGACACTCTCACGGTCGGTGGTCGGCAGCTCTAGGGGGTGGTTCGTTTAACCGATAACCGGGTTTTCGGTTTTTGGTTAAACCAAAACCGACCGGTTGACAGCCCTACACTTGATATGTTTCGGTATTGGACAAAGATGGCCAGGTAAAGAGAAGAAATGTGATTAGTGCACAAATGGGTTTGAGTTTTGAGCAATTAGTACCGCTGCACAGGCAGTGGCTGAGGCAGGCTATTGGCATTGTTCCGGGACGGGTAAATTTTGTGAGTAACAAAAATACTTTATATATGTTTATACGAAGGATGGAACACAACATCATTGTACTTCGTTACTATATCACAAATCATTATTTTATTTTTTTATAGATATATCACAGATCATTATTTATCATAAATTGACAATGAATTAATTATTATACAATAAACCAAATCTCAATTGGAATAGATCTCTTTTCTTTATATGCC